CCAGCAACCTGGAACAAAACCCCTGAAGGAGAGGCAAACAAATGAAAGGAAAAATAAGACTGAGTCAGTTTAATGAGGCAACTCAACCAAAACAAATGGGGCCCAGAGTTTTCTCCTGAGTGAGCTTCCTAGTCCTTTCAACAAAATCAGAGGCCCTTGAACGAACTCCAGTAACCTGGAACAAAAGCTCTGAAACAGAGGCAAACAAAGAAAGGAAAAGTAGGACTCCATCAATTTTAACAAAGAAACTCACCAAAAGGGCATCCGTTCCAAACCAGAAGCCAAAACAAACAGACAAACAAACAAATCCAGAGCCTGTTTCCTTGCCACAAGAAAAATGTGCCTAGGGTCAGTGGTGCTGGGTCAGACGGAAAGTACTGGGGACAGTTCCTGGGGAAAATCACCTAGGCGGCTGCTGGACTGCTTCCCTGGAAATCCCAGCTGGCCCAGGGCCGTGGAGCCACGGGCAAAGAGCCTCCTGGCTGGCCCACCAAATTGTTACCAAACCCAAACACAGGTTGGTTTACCCACCACATAGTAGGGCCCATAAAGAAAAAACTGAAACACCAGGCTTGTGGCAAGGAAAGAGGTTTACTATTATGGAAAGGCAGTCAGTTGAGGAGATGGGAGTTAGAACTCAGATCTACCTCTTGGAAGGGAAAAGGGTAGGGGTTTTTATCTGGGGTTTTAGGTAGGGGAGGGAGAGCATGTGCTAGGGTTTTAGGTAGGGGAGGGGGAGCATGTGGCCATGCTCGTTGGCACCTTCCCACCAGCCTGTGTTTAGCCTTAAAGACAATTTCTTTTCCCTTGACTGTCTGGACTTTTCTAGTTAGTTTTCATCTTCAGCCTGTGTTTGGCCTGTGAGGCTGACTCTTGATGCCTGGACCCTGACTTCCTGGAAAAGACAGCTCACTCATATCCTGAGGAGGTACAGAAAGACCTGGTTAGTTTTAAACAACAGTTGATTTGCTGAATATGCACAGCTGCAGTTAGCAAAGCTTAGCTCAAAGTTTTTGCTCTCTTCTTCCAGCTCAGGGAAGATTTTTTAACCTCGTCATCCTTGCTTTCAAGGGTTGGGATGACTCACAAGAAACTTCATCATATGAGGACAGGGAGAAGAACAGAAACCCAAGAAAGATACAGAGAAGGGACAGCCAGCGACATAAGTGGAAAGCAGGAGAAATGGTGTCGTGGAAGCCAAAAGAGATTATTTCAAGAAGGGAAAGTGGTCAACAGGGTCAATTGCTTCTGAGAAGATAAGAACTGAAAAGTATCCATGGGACATATTGACATTTGAATCTCTGACGGAAGCCGGCACAGTGTCTTTTATATGGTAGAAATTGATACATTTGTTGAACTGAAGTATACAGAACAAGACTGGAAGTATGAAGATCTGAATTTTAATGGTTACTGACACTATTGTTAAACACATAATATATTTCATATTTTAGGAATTTAAATCTTTTCCATGACTTCTGAGTGTAGCCTTTATATAGAAATCCTTCTCAGCTTTCCTCACTCGAAGTATTATGAGCATCTTCCCTGTCATTACATATTGTTCCACAAAGGGCTGTTAAGGACTGCAAAATAATCCGTCATTTCAATGTGCCATGATTAATTTAGCCATTCTCTTGCTTAACCATTCTCTTGGGCATTTAGGTGGTTTTTAGTTTTTCACTGCTGTAATAACTTTCCCCCCAATTATTCTTGCAGGTAACTTTTCAGCTGCACTATTTCCTTGGGCTATTTTAGGAATAGCATTCTGTATTTCTGTTTTTATTCAGTTATATAGCTGATTTTCATAAAAACCATAAGAATGCTATAAGCCACAGTGCTTTGGCAGAAGAGTTCAAAATGGCATGAGAAAGACATGAAGATAAGTGTTTTAAAAATTTGTTGAGAGTGAGATCAGAAGTAAATCTTGCAGAGAATTTAGATGCTGGTGAAGCCAGGTACCCGAGGATTACTGTAAATATTCAACAAGATTATCTTTTGACTTTGTTATGAAAAGAAGTTAATCCTGTCAATTTGCTGTTTTCTTGTTTAACCTGAGGGGTGACCCAATGGTCACAAGGAATTATGAGCTTGTTTTACAGAAGAAAGAGAATGCCTTCAAGGATCACCAGATAACCAGCCCCCAGCCACTGTTGAAGCCCAGAAGTCAGATTGCCCAGGGGCTTATCAGGAGTGAAAGAAACACAGATTGTCCCTTTGTTTCTCCAAAACTCCTCCTGCCCAGCCCCTTAGCTCTCTAAAACCCCCTGGTTTCTTCTCTTATTAAGGTGGATTTGAGAGAACCTTTCCTCCCACCTTCTCATTTTGGCCAATTTCAATCAACATTTCTCCATCCCAAGCACCAATGTCTCAGTGATTGGCTTAGTGTGCATCAGGCACAGGAACTTGAGATGAAGAGGTTCAGCATCACTGGGAGGACTGGATGGATATGAACTTCAGATTTGAATGTTCAGTGACATCCTTGATCCAGTACCCAGAGACTGGACTAGCTCCATTACTTGTGGGGCCCAATGCAAAAGGAGAATATGGAGCACCTTATTCAAAAATTATTAAGAATTTCCAAATGACAATAGCAAGACATTAAACCAAGTATGAGGTCCTTCTGAGCATGGGGTCCTGAGTGACGGCACATGTCACACCCGTGATGTCGGCCCTGCCCAGAGGCAATGTGATCCCAAGAAATGTGGGCCAATTAAAATGTGCAGGAGACTGAGAGGAGTACTCAAATGTCACTCTGTTAATTTATAGTACAATAGAACAGTCATATAGTGAAGCCCCAACTTTCAGGTGTCCCCTCTAGACTCTATTGCCAGGCACTGTATGCTCTTGGGCAAGGTGCTCATCTGTTGTAAACTCTTTAGAAAAAGCAGAGACTGGATTATCTCTAAAAGGACCTTCAAGGCTCTGATTCCTCGCTCTGGATCATGAGACCCTGGGAGAAGGGCCTCTGTTCGCTTTTTTAACCTTATTATCCATACGAACTGAGAGGGTTAATTTTATGTGTCACATTGGCTGGGCTATGATGCCCAGATATTTGGTCAATCATTGCTCTGGGTGTTTCTGTGAAGATGTTTTTGGATGAGATTAACACTTAAATTGGTGGACTTTGAGTAAAGCAAATTGCCCTCTATAATGTAGGTGGGCCTCATCCAATCAGTTGAAGTCCTGAATAGAACAGAAGACTGAACTCCCTCAAGCAAGAAGGAATTCTGCCAGCAAATGGCCTTAAGACTTGAACTGCAACATTGGCTCTTTCCTAGGTCTCCAGCCTGCTGGCCTACTCTGCAGATTTTGGACTTGCCAGCCCGCATAACCACATGAGCCAATTCCTTAATAGAAGTCATATATATAAAAGAAATGGGGATCCATTTATAAATTTTAAACAAAGTCAGGGAGAACAATTAGGAGATTATTATTATTATACAAGTTAGAAATTAGGCCTTGAATTTATTAAGTGCCAGAGGGGACACGGAAAAGAAAAATAGACAGGACAGGACTTTGATCTTGATTGAATCTACATGATGAGGTAAGAAATCATATTTGTGCCTGATGATCTCTTTTCTTCAGAGTCAACTCTTCTGGTATTGGAGAGACTAAAAGAACAAATAAAGGCAGGAGGTATAAACAAAGCAGTGAAGGAAAGCAAGGCTTGCAAATGTAGGGATCTGCAGGTTTAAGCTTTATTAAAAAAATCATGCTGTACTGAAGTTATAAAAACTGCTTTATTTTAAGTGTGAAAATACAAAAGCCACTTACATATAAAATTTAAGGGTATTGAAGCATCCAAACTTTAAGTTCCAGCTTTAGCTCCTTATAAATGGACTTAAATTTAATTGAGACAATATTCATAGTGGGCATAAATATAAAGAGGATTATATTTCTAAAAATTAAGATATGGGAGAAAATAATATATTCTGTCATTGATAAAAAGCACAGAACTGTAGTGGTCAGCGCCATGGACTTCCCAACACCCTCTCTGTTCCAAAAGATTGGTAGGAGACCATTAGAGGAATCTTACTGTTGTTGGCAGTAGTTGGGGAGAATGGCCACATGACCCATTCCTGACCATAAGACATGAGGAGACATGAGGACAGGTTTGCTGAGAGAACCTCTGAGAAAGGGTTCTTCAAGTCTATGAAGAAAAAGTTACTCAGCTTCTTTCTTTGGCTGCTGCCAGGTCTGAATGGGTCCATGGAATACCTACAGCCATCGTGGCACCAGGTTAAGAATGAAGCCAACACTAAAGGTGACAGAGCAGAGAGATGGAAAGAACCTGGTTCCTTGGTGACATACTGAGTTGTGGACCCCGCCGACTTTACCTTCTTGTCATGTGAGATTATAAATGTTCTTATTGTTTAAGCCATTTGAATCAAGGTTTTCTCTTACTTGCAGCCAAAAGCTTCCCAACTAAAACAAGAGCTAAAGGTAGATTAAAAGAAAACGTTTACAGATGGCTATAATGTATTGAATTAAACTTTCTCCTCTTGGTAAATCAATTTTACTTACTGTCATTTTATTATTTCATTTAAAGTTTACGTAATCCCTTCCCTCTGAATTGTCATTAATCTTTTTTTATACTTTCACATCTAACCATCTGTCCTCTACACAGTATTGCTGACAAAGACAAACAGAACAGATAGAACAGAAGCAGCAGCTGAATCTAGCTCTCTGCTAAGGTGCAAAGGGATCGTCTCTCTTTCACAGACAATTTGAAGGTGGTGGCAGTAAACTTTTTCTGATGGGAGCCCGTAGAAATAGCATATAGAGTAAGAATCCAACAATCTTCTAATAACCGCTTTTAAAAATAAAAACAACCAAGTACCTTTTTACAACTAATAATATATCCTTCACTTACTTGCCTCCTGGCTGCATCAGAAGCATTCATATACCTTTTTCATAACCTTAAATAAAACCAGTACATGCAAAGAACTAAGCACAGTGTTTGGCACAAGGTATTGTTATCAGCAGTGCTCTACTCTCCCGTGCTGAATCTGGCACTGAGTGTCCCAGGGTCTCTAAAGCTCCCACTGGTTGACCCGTAATGTATCTGCTTGGTTTCCTATAGCTTGAGTTTTGCTTTCCTCTTGTCGGTACACTTGAAAAATGCAATCTCAGGGCTAGTGTATGCTTTTCATTTTCAGATGCAAGCAGTAACTTTGGCATTTCTGATCACAAAAAACCCGTATGAGAAAGCTGGCAAGCCCAGTGAACTTCCTGGGCGGAGAGGCTTCTCTGTCAAAGCTGGCAGGGTTTGGTCATCCACCATTTTCAGAGTTTGACCGTTGAGTTGGACAGATCTGCAAAGAGGAAAGATACATCCAAGTTAGCCAAGTTTTGCATGCTCCATCCACTCTACAAAAGTTGGGAGACCTTTTTAAGACCAAAAAAATTTTTTGTGGCAGCTTATACTATATAACTTGTATTTCAACACTATAATCAGTTAGGTATTTGACATAGATGATTTTTGACCTACACCGGCAGAGTTGAGTAGTTGTGACAGAGACCACATGGCCTGCAAAACCTGAAATATTTACTATAGGTCCCTTCACAGAAAATGGAACACATGTATCCTATACTAGGCAATATGACGGAGGGATAAAAAGGGTAAACATGACATATCTTCTGGAATTTTATTTGATGGTAAATAGTTAAAAATATTTTTATATAAAGCAAATAGATATATAGAATGGAATGTAAATTTCACAAATTTAACATAAAAAATGACAGTCAGTGAAATTTCCCACTTGTAACTGTGCCCATAAACCCTCTAATGCCCATTCCCCCAGGAGGGGGGATGATGCACTCATTTTCCTATATCGTTAAGATATTTTGGTAGAATGTATACTGCTGTGGTGAAATAGAAATGATTTTGTTTGGCTAAACCACAGATTCTAAAAAATTTATATTTTCTTTGCATTTTACTGTTGGAATTCTAATTCAAATCTGAATCAAAAAATGGAAAAAAAAATTTAAGGACAAGTATTATTTCATATGCATATTTATTATTATTTAAGTCACATTAATACATGCTCACAGCAACAAATCCAAAATAAACAAGAGCTTATAAAGAAAAGCTTTAGTTTGCTTTTAGTTCTACTGATAGTTACTTTCATAATTCCAAACGATGCTTATATCTCTACTGTTTTTTCTCAAATGCTTTTTATATTATGAACAAGTATTTTATTGTTGGAAATTTAGATTAGTTAATATCAGTTATATGTATGTCATATATGTAGAACACTTAAAACAGTGCCTTGCATATAGTAAGCATGTAAAAGTATTATCTCATCATCATTATTATTCAGATAAATAAATATAACAAAAGTAATGTAACTCATCATAACGATTTTTAACATTTTGATGTATATTCATCTCTTTTCTATGTATGTATATATACACCTATTTTCATTTAAACAAAAGTGAGCATACAGTACACAGTCTCTTAAAACTTAATTTTTGTCCCGTAACACAGCCTAACCTTTGCTCACACCATTAAACATTCATCCACTACATCATTTTAATGGCCGCAAAGAATTCCATTGTGAGAGCATATTAGTTTATTTACTTAATTGTCCAATGTTAGACATTTGGTTGTTTCCAATTTAGCATTATTATAAAGTTTTCATTTTTAAAGATCTCTCCCACTCTGTCCTCGCTAAGAATCAGTCAACATAAAAACTGGTTTCCATTTAACCTTGGTTAGATGCCCAACTCTGGGCTCTGTACCTAAAGACTTAATGAGATAACCCTAATGGAGCTGCAGGCTAACAAGCCCACACTGCAGTTACACACAGTCCACACGCACTCGAGGTTTGTGTTAGCGCCTACATCACATCAGTTTTTAGGTGGGGTGGGGAGGAAATGCCATGACCATCACCAGGAAACCACAGACAAAGAGAAGCCTTGAAAACATCTCTAAATGACAGCGGTAAGAGCTGTTCTGCATGAAATTGAGAACCATCTACAAGGGCACACACAAAAAATTCAGAAACGCTTTAGGAAATGCCACACAGTTTAAAAGTTAATGTGATCATTATAAATTAATGCTGCTGTGAGTTAAGATGATGAACATGGGCAAGATAATACCTACTATCATCTGGCTATATGGTTTAATCAGCTATAAATATAGCTAAAGGATGCTGTCAATGCATTAAGTGTAAGCTTAGAGCATGCTGATTATTTCCGCAGCAGGCTGGGCAAGGGGGATAGTGCTTTATGTGAGGGTAGTATCTTGTTTCACATTTTGAAGTCAGTAACATCATGACAGGAAATAGAAGACACGCTTGTCAAGTTTCAGATGAAATGGAGCCAGAAGGAATGAGCAAGCAACAGATTGGGCAGAATTGGGGATGCTGGGCAAAATTTATCTGGCATAAATATAAAATACTGCTTTCATATTAAAGATATTCCCTCAAATATTTATTAAGTACTTACTATGCAGGACCTTCTACAGGCACTACACAAGTTGTTCAAGTAAAAAATAATTTTCACAAGGGGATCATTGTTTAACCAAGAGGTCATTAACATGAGCAAGTGTGCAGACTGTGTACTCATCAAACTTACCTGGGATACTTTGCAACATTTTAAAGAGAGAAAAGTATAATTAATATATACTCATCAAAGAGAAATTAGGGTAATAAAACATTATCTATAGTTTCACCACTTTTCCAATTAGAAAGCATGAAATGTGTGATCAGAATGTAACAGCTGATAAATACAACTAAGAGAAGATTGTTGAAGAAATTGGGTGTATTTAGCCTGGAAAGAAGACAATCCAATTGTCCTTTAAGTATTTGAGTGTCTTTCCGGAGAAGTGAGGTATTCAGCATTGCTCCAGACTAAGGGAGCAAATAAATGCCCACGAAGGCCAAGAAAGATACATATGTAAGTGCAGGGAGACAGGCATAGGACAACAGGGTCTCATGGGGACTAAGGTGTTCTAAAAAGCTGATGACCCGTCTAAAGTAAACAACCCCAGTTCAACTCCATCTAATTGGGAAAACAAGCCTGGGTATCCATTTTTAAAGAAAAGCTAGAAATGCAGATATTTTAGTAGTTGTCAATTTTTAAGTGTTAACAAATAATTAAAACAAAAAATTAACCCAGAGTGCATGCCAACCTCGCCTACCAGAAAAAGAGAAAAAAAATCCTCTAAACCCACATGTCAACAGGCGTGAGCTGTAATTTCCAGCCTCTGCTCTAGAGAACAGATCTAAGAGCAGCCGATGAAAGGCACAGAGAAGCTCACTCTATCCTGCCAGAGAGAACAGTCGCCAGCAGAGGCTGCAAGTTCTAGCAGAGGAGGAGTCAGACAGCCGAATGGCCTTAGATACCCATCTAAGGTTGGACTAAAATGATCTCTTAAGGCATGTCCAACTCTACAACTATTATTCAATTACTTCAGAAAAGCTTTTCTCTTATCAGCATCAGATACAAACATGCTAAAAATATCCACTTCAAAAAGGGTCAGAACACAGATAAAGTATCTGTTACCCAAATATACATTATTTACAGCAGGAAAAAAAGGTTTAAACAGTAGGAAAATGGGTAAGTAAACCGAGGTATTCTATAAAACATACAGCTCATTAAAAATATCTACAAAGGCGGTGTATTGAAAGATACTGGGAAAACTTGTGGATTCCCCCTCCCTTTTTCCCATCAGAGGTTGTATGATTATAGTCATAGTAAAATAAAGCAGAGGGTAAAAATAAAGGCATGGTGCCTAGCGTTAATAATGCTGTCAATGGGGGATAGGACTTTTGAGAAAGCATACTTACTGTGCTTTTTCAGGTTCTGATGCTAATTGTTACTGAAAACACCACTCATATAGCATTTGCCAAGATGGCAACAAATGGTGAGAATTTTGTAAACTCCTCATTTTTTATCCTCCAATGTAAGAATGGTCATGATGAAAAGAGCTCCTTCCAACACACATTGGACAGAAATCGTACAATATTTGTGTGTCTAACTCTGCAAGGCTCGTAGGCATTCTTGGGTATTTTGTGGAATATGGTCTTTCATAAGACACATTCAATGACTGGCTTTTAAATCAAAATGTATTAGAACCAACTTCAGATAATTCACCTAAAAGGTACATTTCTGGCTAGTTTTTTTCCTTACTCTAACCAATAAAAAAAAGTAATGCTGTAAGAGGATCACACCCAGCTCACGTGGTATGAGATTTTACACCAACTGCTATGCCTTTATATGGCAATCATATATGCTTTGCTTTAGTGACTGTGTTACCAAGAATTATGTATTTTTAGAACAAATAATCTGAATGCATTGAGTAGATCTGGATATATTAGGCTGTTTGTTTTGAAATGTAAACTCTTCCCTCAGATAATTGCTACTTTCTGTTCCTATCCTTCTGCTTTGGACTCTCAGAGCATTATACTTGTATTAACGTGTATTCATATATAAACTTCCTGAATATTAAGAATAGTTAGAACTTGAAATAGTTGACTTTTTTTTGCTCCCTATCAACACTCTCTATTCTAATAAACACCAATAAATTTGGTGAAAGTTTGAAACGAACAAGAAAAATTACTCACTTGGAAAGTAACCCCTCAGGTCCTGAAGGTTTTATGAGGTATTTGTCCACTTGCTTGCGAAATAAATGATGTGGTAACTGCAAGTACTTGGTGACATTATGGAGGTTTAAGGCATACAGAGTTAAGTCTCCTTCTTTATACCTTGGGCTAAAGGCAAATAGATTAAATCAATAAAAATATCTATCCAATTTAAGCAATTAAAAACTTGATTACAAATATACTCATGGATACTAAGTATTAGCGTCTAGAATGACGACAGGCCCTCTTTGTACCCTTCCTTTTGTGAAAATGTTAGACCACTGATGTGGTCCTATTTTGAAAACAATTAAAAATATTGCTCTTCACGCTACCATTTTCTACGCTGGAGCATTCTGAGATCTTTGCTGCTTTGCCAGCTGAGTTGTTAGGAAGCCAGTTGGCCCATCCATATTTAAACACAGGAAGGCTAAATGGTAACACGTAAATGTTGTGGGTTCATGTGAACTAAAATTATAAACCATATAAACAGGGGCTTTTTCTAGCCTTATGAAAGACTGAGATAAAGAAGAAAATTAAATCTATTGACACTTTTCAGAATTTATGCATCCAAACCAGGCCCCCACTTCTTCCCAGTGAGGATCCATAGGATCCATAGGATCCCACTCACTAGAAATTGGAAGTGATGGGTGGCTTTTCTGGCTAAAATTAGTATTTTAGTATCATCCTATGAGGAAGGACACATTGAAACTGAGAAGAAGAGAAAAATCTCCGAGATTTAGGAACATTTTTTGCCACCTAAGGCCAGAGTACTGGACTACAAAAATCTCTATGACCTCTCAACTCCAGAAATTGGGTTGAAACTTTTGAAAAGAAGATTGTTGTTGTTATTGCTATCCTTCTTTTAATTCTTTTTCTTCCTTATTAAATTTATCAGATATGATACAAGGGGATAGGTATACTCAAATAATTATTCATTAATCTGAATTTATATTCATTTTTATATTTACTCATAGTCATTCAATGAATTAACCATTCATTTAAAAATAGTTATGTTCTTACATTTATACTATTCTTTATTTATTTAAGTTTGCATATTTTTCCATTATGGATTATGACAAGTAAAATCATTGTACAAATCTTTGCTGGACTGCAAATGCCTATATTTAAGCTATTTTTTTAGCTAGACTCTGGTACCATATCACTATGAATACAAAAAAAATATAGAACAATGCCACACCTTAGACCCACCATAGAGAGAGGACAACAGGGTGTTAGAATAGGATGTTATGTGCTTACTAAGTAAAAGTTGTTGATTGGTAAAGGGTGTGTTACACACTTACTGGTTGATGTTTGTGCAATGAAGGTATACTCGAAGTTTGTTTCTCTCTGGACTTTTCACTCTTGCCATTAAAACATTGGTGCCCACCAGTTTCTTGAACAGAAGAGAGAGCCAATAATCCTAGTTGTGGTGGTTGAGGAAAGAAGGGACAAAAATAGATCTTTACTTGTTTTTTTATTTAACAAAAACTATGTCAAGCAAACAGCTATCCTACAAAGAGTGTGACTGTTATCCTAGTGGTATTTAAAGAGGATTCATCTTTTGGTCTGTGTCACCACCATGAATCTGAAGGTAATATCTCATTTGCTGCTTTTTATCATTGGAGGACTTAGTTTCCATAATTCAGAGGGCCATGCCTGCTGGGAGATATGTCTCAAGAATGTAACTCATTGCTCAGAGAGAGTGTAAATATTTGTTGTCTATCTCCAAGAATTCAAAGTGAAGCTCAAAGCAAAACTTTTAGATACACACACACAGACAAGTTTTAAAAATAAAACTTTTGGGGCTGGCATGATGGTGTAGTGGTTAAGTTTGCACATTCCACTTTGGCGGCCCGGGGTTCACTGGTTCAGATCCTGGGTGCGGACCTCCTCACCGCTCATCAAGCCCTGCTGAGGTGGTATCCCATATAGAAAAGCTACAACTCTACAACTATGATACACAACTACATACTGGGGCTTTGGGGAGAAAAAAAAGAAAGAAGAGGAAGATTGGCAATAGATGTTTGCACAGGGCCAATCTTCCTCAAAAAAAAAATTGCAAAAAAAAAAAAACCTTTTGTTTGTTTAAGAGACTAAAACAATTTCCTTTAAAACCTTACCCCCCCCCCACCCTCCACCTCGGTAAAGTAACAGATTAGGCAGCCATCATTGCTAGCTGTCAAGGTCAGAAAAAGAGAGACGACCAGTCATTATGTGTCTCTTGATGGAAGCACACAACATCATCTATAACGAATTCCTGCGAAACAAAACAAAAACCAAAAGTCTAAATAAGCTCAAGCCTCTAAGTCTAACTATCAGTTTACAGAAAATACAGGGACAGAGGAACATGCTAAATGATACCACAGGAATGAATTTAGCAACATCCAGAAGGTGGGAAACACTATGGAACAAATTACTTGGATTCTTTAATTAATAAATTTCAAAAGACAAAAAAAGAGAGGGAGGGGGAACTTAAAGATGAACAGCCTTAAGAGATATATCAAATGCAATATATGGGCCTTGTTTGGATTCTGATGTGAATATACCAACTATTAAATAAGGAAAATGTGAAACACTGACTAAATATTTGATGATATTGAGGAATTATTATTATTATTTTTGCTGAGGAAGATTTGCCCTGAGCTAAGATCTGCTGCCAATCTTCCTCTTTTTGTATGTGAGCTGCTGCCACAGCATGGCCACTGACAGACGAGTGGTGTAGGTCTGCGCCTGAGAACTGAACCTGGGCTGCCGAAGCAGAGCACACTGAACTTAACCACTAGGCCACCGAGGCTGGCCCTGTTAATATTTTAAAGTATGATAATCATATTTTGTTATGTTTTTACAAAGGAGATACATACTAAAGTACTTACAGATAAAGTGATATATCTGAGATTTGCTTCAAAGTAATCCAGTAGTGGGGAGGTGAGGAGTGGGTAGGATTATGGATTAAACAAGATTGGAGATTCATATACTTTTCTCTCTACTTTGAAATTTTCCATAATAAAAAGTTGTTTGTTTTTTTTTAAACCCCCCTCAATACCTACTCTAACTCTTCCTTTTTGAGCACAGGTAAGGTAGACTTCACAGGCAAACAGCTTTTGCTTCTCTGCTTAAATTCAACTTTTTCACTGGACACAAGAGCAGAACCAATTAAATGTTTTCAGAGGAGAAGTGACTTTATCATGGTTCAGTAACTGGGAGGGTTACTGAAAGCATGCAGGCCTCAGAGCCGGGATTTGTGTGGGATTCTTTAGAGTAATGTGGGACAAATGTGTAACCTCCAGCAAATCATGCAACCTCATCTCAATTTGAACTTTCTCATCTGAAAAATGGATCTAAGATACCTGCCTTGCCACCTTCCAGGATTGTTATGCAAATCAAATAAGAAAACAGACATGTAGATGGGTTTAAGGCCTGTTCCCCTGGATCCTGCAGGCTTCAAGGGTACCATTCACTCTTTCAAGTTTTTCTAGCTGACTGTGACCTTCAGGAAAAAGTATACTCAGTGTGTATACAAAGGGTTCTTAAGTCAAAGGTTTATGTTTGGGCATTGAGAAGATTTAGATAACATAATAAATAGCTGGTACTATTTATGGAGAGTGACAGGATAAGCTGGCTAATTTCTAGACATTGTACTCAAAGTGAATTTTGTAGAAGCTATTTATTTACCTTCCTTGCTCGAGGTCCATTTAAGAAAGGGCCAGCAGTAGATTTTGGCTATTTGTTTAGTGAAATTATCATGTTTGGTTTAACTCTATAGATGACTCATAACATACTTGAAGAAGATAGATTCCATTTTGTGCAAAGTCATTTTTCTAAGAATTTTCTAGAAGTTATGAACAGTGTACTCCATGAGCTTGGACCACTATAGATTAAAAGCAATTTTGTTGGGAAATCTATCTTCAGACCACAAAAGCCTAGCATATTTTGGCATGTGCTTTTTGCAAACTTTCTTAGCTTTCCTACAATATTCAAATAATTCCCTTAGGACTTATTCTTAGAAAATGGATATCCTCAAATGCCATTTTAGACCATAAAAATCAAGGTCATACTTGTCAGGGCTATAACAATACTATCCCAATTTTTAGACATATATAGCTTCCAGGTAGCTTTTTGGATAGAAAGGTTAAATTTCCTGACTTGGCACCAGATGCAGTTGGAGGTAGGGTAGAAATAAGATTTTATTCATAAACATCTTATAGAGTATTAACAAAATAGCAAATTCTTAGAGTGAGATTTTTTTTCTTTTTTTGGCTGAGGAAGATTGGTCCTGAGCTAACATCTGTGCCCATCCTCCTCTATTTTGTATGTGGGATGCCACCACAGCATGGCTTGATGAGAAGTGCATAAGTCCTCGCCCAGGATTCAAACCTGCGAACTTTAGGCAGCCGAAGCGGAGCACTTGAACTTAATCACTATGCCACCAGGCCAGCCCTAGAGTGAGATTTTTCAACAAATATACAGTACTGGCTTATCTTCAAGTTAAATAAAGTATGATTTCATGACATAAAAAAGTTTTGAAGCTTTGGATACTGTAGGCAATTTTAACTTTGATTTACTTTGCGAAACATTTTTTTTTTTGCTGAGGAAGAGTCACCCTGAGCTAACATCTGTGCCAGTCTTCCTCTATTTTGTATGTAGGTCTCTGCCACAGCGTGGCCGCCAGCAAAGGGTGTAGGTCCGCGCCAGGAACTGAACCTGTTGTGGAAGTGGAGTGCGCCAAACTTAACCACTAGGCTGTGGGGCCAGCCCACAAAACACTTTTTGATCCAAGTTTATCTTGTAAACTTGAATCATAAAATTTCAAATTACCCCTTTTAAAAAAAATCCCACATCATGCCCCAAATGGCACCAAAAAAGTTATTCCTGGGTCTCAATTTCTTTTCTTGAGACACAAAAATGTTAGAATGGATGATCTCTAAGGTGTCTTCCAATTCACCATTCCGTGGTTTGGCTATTTACTGAGAGCATTGAATTTATTGAGAGGAGTGACTGTTCATAGGAGGTTAATACAGGGGCCCTCAGTACATTCTAATCTACTCACAGAAATAGGAAAATAATGGTCACTTACAGGTAAAGGTTCGAAGTTTTCATCCACCAAGTGGTAGTTCCCGGCTCCGAATAACACTTGCCTCATCACCACTTCTATGCCCATTCTAGCCGACAGGCCCAATTTATCCAGCCACCTGGAACACAGTGAGGCCCAGCTTCCTTCAGCTTCGGAAAACAAAATACCTCAACTCTAATTATACAATTTTCTGATTTATTCATCTATGTGGGAGGAATTGACAGGAAACCAGAAAAGTGGTATTAAGTATAAATAAGTCATTCAAATGGAATGGAGAGTATCCTTCCCTTCACCTTTTCCCATACTTCAGCATGATAACAAATTCTAGAAGACTATTAATATGCTATAGGAGTCCCTTTCAGGCTAAGACAACTTCTACAAAGGAGAGCAGACAAATGCCCACTCCTATAGACAATTATTCTCCATCCTGTAAGATACTACCCCCCCCACCAGCCCCAGCCCCATGTAAGATCTGAAGAAAACATTGCTTGTAGTCAGCAGTAGTAAATTGTGAACAAGTAGAATCACACCTAACACCTCCCCCTTCCTATCTTTAGTGAATTGCAGAACAAATATCTCCATTCTTTTTCTACTCCTCATGCCCCCATGAGCATAAAGGACTTGTCTTTTATTCTGGACTTATAAGAATGAGGGTAGGAGAGGAAAGAGAATAAGTCTTGATCTGAGGATACCTAACTATAGATTAAAAGTGTTAATGGAGCTACGGAATGTAAGTAAATCAGTTGTTTAGAGTAATCAAGTTTGTGGTGGTTGAATAATGAGGTAATTTAGTAAATCTTCAAATTCATTGGAGGCCCTCTGGTGTGACCTCATACTTCAGGCTCTACACGTCTTGGGAATATAAATAGAGCTCCATATACTAAGTGTCCTTCTCAGAGTCAAGGCTCTAGATGCACTCTTTTACAATGTACTTCTTTATAGGAAGGGATCCTTGGCATATTTATGGGTTGTTATCAAGGAACAAAACTTCTAAAGCAACTCCTTCACACAATGATTAATTTGGAACACGCGTTAAAGATGTGCAACAAGCTCTAGTAAACCATTTTCTTGCAAAATCTGGCACGAATTTTGGGGCTCAGCCACAGAAACTATCTTTGATCAAAGTTTTGGCTGACGAGCTATTTCAACTGAATGGAAGGATAGGAGAATGCTGCCATCCGGTCCCTGAGGCGAGTGCTACTTCACTCACATAAAGCCAGCCGCAAAGGAGTTGGACAGCAAGGGTGCTCCACCCCCGTACGCAGAGCTTGTTTCTCCTAACCAAACCTTCTTGTGGGGTCTGGTCTCCTCAACAACCTACGGAACAGGAAAGTCTCCATGGTAATGGCAAACAAGCTGACCAATTATGGTGCTGAAGATTAACAACATTCAAAACCTTGTATTTCCAGACCCATCCATCCAATATAATTACAAAATATGTTTACAGTCATTTAGGTGTTGGGCAATTTACTTTTATTGGAATACTAGGTGTGGAAGGAATATAAATAACCCCATTCTTATGGACTATCAGAGTTAATGCTAACAAAAGGCTATTGAAAGTAGTTTTAATTTTTTTTTTTTTTTGAGGAAGATCAGCCCTAACATCTGCCAATCCTCCTCTTTTTTTGCTGAGGAAGACTGGCCTTGGGCTAACATCCATGCCCATCTTCCTCCACTTTATATGGGACGCCGCCACAGCACGGCTTTCCAAGCAGTGCAGCAGTGCGCGTGCCCGGGATCCGAACCTGCGAAACCCGGGCCGCCGCAGCGGAGCGCGCGCAGTGAACTGCTTGCGCCACTGGGCCAGCCCGAAAGTATTTTTAATTTTTAACCAACATACGTGACCCAACACTAAACGGGGAATGAAAGTGAATAAGACCTAGTGGCTGTTCTCTAAAAGTAGAAAAACACATAAATCTGTGTATATACATACACACACTAGCTAGACTACAAAATAAGGACTCTGGTTTTACATTAAGAAGAGAAAAAGACCATTACCTGGAAAATTTTTTGCACGGACAAAATGAAAGTGTCCAACACATCAGGGTTTAGAAAATCTTCTTTGGTAGCAATTCGTCCATTCAAGTAGTAGCTAAATTATTCAGAAAATATTCAGAAAAAAATATGAACCTTTACTTTCTGCTTTTAAGTTAATTGGCCAAACTTGTTCTCCTTTCTACCTCTTCCCACTCCCCTATTATTAAAAAAGGCAGCAGTCCTACTAAGGAGAGACCAGGATGGAAGGGGATCAGTTACTCTGTCTTGAGAAGACATAGTCACAAGTGCAGGTACTGTGGGTTACTCATTCTTTGGCAAGCATGTGGGTTTTAGCTACTCGTCTGTTCCATGGGTTAAATGATAGTGTGCCTTGATCTTGTAGGAACCACCACATTATTTAAAATAAGTTTAAATCTTTGTTTTATTAATATTAAAATTCTAGAACAGTGCTGCTTGAGACATTATTTGTTTCTTATTCAAACTATGAAGTCAATTAGCAGTTAAATGGAAATAATGTTTTGAAAAGTAAGTAATAAGCAAAGCTAGCATTATTTTCTTAGTATTAAGAGCGGGAAACATACTTACTGATGCCATGTAACTGAATCAATCACTTCTCCCCCAGCCTTCAGGAAGCTGGAAAAAAAGTCTATTATGTTATCATAATCCTCATATGTACAATATATTCCCTAGAAATGGGCTGGTTACTACGTTAGGATCAGGCAAACACAAAACTTTCTAATTCTGATACAAGTTTATCATAGGTGCCATTTGTCCCAAAATCCTTGGTATTCTGAGCCAGTCAATGTTTCCTCTTTTGGTAAACCATCCGGTCAGGCAGCAAATTGTTTTAATAACATGTGGACTGTTGAGGATTCTCCCCTAGAGAGAAATTTATTTTTAAGAAGAGTGGTTCTGCTTCTTCCAGCTCTTACCTCCTCAGCATCTTAACTGTCTTTCCTCGAGGCTGGCCAACATCAGGACCATAGAGTTTTGCATTTTTGAAAGTGAATTTTCCTAGAAGTTTATGCAACTCAATAAAATCTTCTCCTAACTGTAATCCATCGATGAAAATACCAGCCTTCTTCCAGAAACTGTTAGGTTCTGCAAAACAGCAATTCTCAAAATAATCATTTGCCTAGAAATTTTTTATTTAAAGGTAAACATAACAGCAGCATATAAAAGCCACAAAACATTTCCAAATTATAAAAACCCAGAATCTAAAGTCAAGAAAAATAAAACTCCTAGTTATAAAGAATATATTCCAGAGAAACAAAAATTTAAATTATATAACTGAGGTATGAGGGGGTATTAAAACAATTTGAAGTTCATAAGAGGGATATTAAATGAATGGATTTGGGAAATAGTCTATATCCAGTATTTGATAACCTAATTTGCTTTTAAAAAAAAGAAAAAAGTTGGATGGAGGGAAGACTTTTAAAAACTAATTTCTACAACACCATGAAAAGCTTTATTTAGAATGTTTACTCACAAATGATCTGAGCAGATGAGCCTGGAAGTAGCAAAGCTGAAGAGATGGGAGGGAGGCACAGAAAGCGTCCAATCTACCTCCCAAATACACCTCGCACAGGCTCTTCCCTGCTCCCTTCCCCTTCACCCTGGAAACCAGACCTCTTTGCAAATTGGGGCCCAAGGAAGAAGGAAACATGCTGACATCACTGGTTTATCTTACTCTGAGGAGTGGAAGGAGCTGGGGAGGGGTAAGGCAGAGAAATAGGGAAGGAGGGATGTATAGAAATGGGTAAGGATGGGTTCAGATGACCTATTATTCACAGGGTTGCTGTAGAAAGTTGTTCAGCATCCAGCTATGCGTAAATGTGAGTGAGAATGTGAGTGTGAATGTGAGTGAATGTGGCTAATCATTAGTACTTTAGTTAGAATTTATAAATTCCTTGCAAAAAAAGAGTAAAGAAGGAGACAATCAGGAAATTGACCTCAGTAGGATTCTATAGCAGGGACTTCTAGCTTGAGCGTATCATGGGGGTTGGGATGGGGGTACTGAGATTAACAGACAAGTTGAGAAATAGAGAAAGGAATGGAAGGGTAAAAGCAAACTGCCCGCTTTACAGTTTTGCTGAGTGGAGCCTGCCAACCATAATAGGTTTAAGTGACCCTGAAAATCTCAAGGGAACCTGCCTGGGAGCTGTGGAAGTCGCTGGTTCCAACTAGTTGTTCTCAGCTCAAATGTAACATAATCCAGGATTAGCAATAGGTTCTGGGATATATAAAGGAGTTTTCTGCCATAAGCAATTCCAAAAGTTGCATTGTTGAGCACTGGCACAAACGTGCAGAGACAGAAGTCTATTTGCTAATACTAAAAAGAATGTCATAAATAGGAACAAACTATGCCAAAGGGGAATCTCCTTATTAATGAAATGTTCCCAGGCGCACTTACCATTGCCTAGTTCCCAAGAAATGTTATAACTCTTGGAAGAGCAGTAGTCCAGGAGCAGCTGAGCGTTAGAACTGTTCCACCGCAAATCTGCTGTTCGCAGTAATGCATTTAGACCAAAGATCAAGTCCAGTCCGGAGCAATTTGCAAAGGTATAGAGCATATCTACTGAGCTTCCTAAAGGAAAAATGTTGCAATTTAAGGGTTAGGTTGGCACCATGGTGATGGAAGCCTCCAGATTTGCTCTTCATAATGAATTACTATTTCTGTTATTAAATAAAAGGAATTCCAGTCCTAATGAGTGGCTATAATTATGAATGAGACAAAAAATTGTACTGACAAATTAAAAAAAAATCAATGTGACTTCATTTGCTTCAGCTGTTGAATCAAGTCCCGTGGAAGGTACCAGAAGTTTGGTCTGGCACTCAGATTTTGTCCAAGTGACTTCAGGTGAATTGGGGAAACTACACTGTATGGTTCAGTGCTCAACATGTACAGGCCAGACCGTCATTAGTCAGCATAACCCACATTCTTCATAATCTAAATGTCTCTACTCACAAACTCAGGTACAAAATATTTTGGTAAATTAATTATATTTAAAACAAATTTTTGAAAAATTCATGTATGTGATTTATTAATTTAAAATAAGTAGAATTTTATGTTAAAAAATTGGCCTAGGGCTACAGGGTTGTGGTTTTGAAATTATGGGCCAAGACACCCCGGAGAGACACAGTGAATTCACTGACACGGTTGTCACATTCAGTAAATAAAAATACATGACATCTAGTTAAATTTGAACTTCAGATAAATAATGAATAATTTTTAGTGTATGTCCTATGCAATATTATAAACAAAAAAAGTCATTTATCTGAAATTCAAATTTAACTGGGCAGCCCTGCTCACAGTGGCAGTGCAGGATCTTTTAAATTTGCAAGGGAAACACATCAATATCTGTTGGACACGACGAGACTATTACTCTCAGGTTGTTTGGACCTAATAACCTAATAACAACTTAGTAATTGAAACTCTTAGGTATTTTTTTGGGCTAGGTATGCTGTGAAAAAAATTACTGAGTCTACTAAAGTGCCATAAAAGTTTGGGAACTTCTGAACTAAGCTCTTTAAACCATTAGCTAGTCTATAATCACTTTTTGAGAGTGGCAACGATATAATATTGAGTGTCATCTTTTTTTTGGTTTTTTTTTTTTGTGAGGAAGATCAGCCCTGAGCTAACATCCATGCCAATCCTCTTCTTTTTGCTGAGGAAGACTGGCCCTGGGCTAACATCTGTGCCCATTTTCCTCTACTTTATATGGGACACCGCCACAGCATGGCCTGACAAGCGGTGCATTGGTGCGCGCCAGGGATCCGAACCCGGGCCACCAGCAGCGGAGCACGAGCACTTAACCGCTACGCCACGGGGCTGGCCCCTGAGTGTCATCTTTAAATCAGTTATCATATGCATAAGTCTTTTTGATTTTCATGTATATTTTGAGTCTTTTGTTAAACAGAAATTCACTCTGGAACTCTCCTAGTGTAAAATAAACCTCTATCTATCTGGCAAACTTATACCCTTTCTCCTTCAAAGTGGCTTTGTTTTTGTTTTGTTCCCAAGTCTTCACCCTGAATTGCCTGGATCACTACAGCAGTGAAACCCCAGATTTAATACTGCCGACCAAGGCTGGGGGCCAGAAACCACTCTAGCAAGCTGTTGTAGTGTCACCCACGTCCACAAAACTACTGCCGATCATCAAGAAGCTACAGGCATTAGGGTTTGAAAAGCTCCGGAGTCCTCGGCCCAGCATTCCACTGGGTCTTGAGCCACAGTGGGGACAGCGCAGAGCCTTTGAGATTACTGAGTCCTCCCCAAACCTCCACCCTCATTTTTCTAGGAAGAAACTGACACCCAAAGAAATGAAGTGCTCTGCCCAACATCACATACTCATCGGGTGGCAGTGGCATTACTAGGGCCTGTTATAAAGGGGTGACTTGACTGCCTTAGTCACAACTATATTTTAGGCTTACATATTGCAAAATTGTATTGTACAAAGTGTGCTGGATCAGGAATCATGAGACCTGAGCTCCAGATCCCACTCTCCCACTTACAGATCAAGGTGACCCCTGTACCCCTCATGAGCCTCAGCTGCAGATCTTCAATCCTGGAACCAGCACCATCATGCTCCTACCTCACAAGATAGAGGTTGAAACGACACATGAAAACCCTTTATAAACCATGAAAAACCCTTACAGATATAAAGCACCGTTATTGCCCAGCCCCTTTACAAAGGCATTTCAAAAAACATGGAATGTTTGCATTCAAGTATTTATTCAACTCTTCCTCTGTTTCTTCATTTTTCCAAATGCACTTGGAATTTATGTAGCTTGAAATTCTATTATACACCCCCTATAATATAATCAGTAACACCTCCTAGAATAAGGGCTGTATATTTCTGAGTTCAAATCCACTTTTTAAAAAAAACCTATCCAGCCTACTCGCTTCTCAAAATAAGAACAACAAGAAAACTCACAGCTAATTATCCAATTCCCAATCATTATCCAATTTCTTATCTCTTACTGTATGGGAGAGTAGAAAGATCCCTGGGGTAAAGATAAACTAAATGACATTAAAAGCTGGCGCTGACTCTCCCTGGCATTAAACTGTGTATGTTTATGTTAGTGTGTTCAGCATCCAGCGTGGGAGTGGGTGTTGGCAGTGGAGGACCAGGGTGACGAGGAAGAAAGGTGGGGAAGGAGAGCAAAGAGTTAGCTCATTAAATATGATTATGCTAATAAGGGAGTCCTTTCTGCAGTCACACCCAGAATTACACCTGTAACATTGCTTCCTCTTCCTGCCCAAACAGGTTTACAGTGTGAGTTTATAGTCTCATGACAAATGGTTTTGTCATCTTCTACTGAAGTGAAACACACCATTCCATGGGTTCTGTCCTTAGAAAACTTAACTCTATCTTCTAGGACATCTGTTTTAAGGGTGCAGGTCACTAACTAAGCAATTAATGTGTCCTTGCTATAACAGATTTTTGCTATCTCTTCCATCATATAATGCCACCACAAGTTACTCTGACATTCCTAACCTCAGCCATGGATGTAGAACAATGTGCGGAAACACCTCTCTGCTTCTGAGATGCTGGTTACTATAATGAGTAGGTGCCCAGACTAAACACAGCAGATTCCTTTATTCCTTAAAGGACATTTCCTTTAAAAACATAGACAGGGGCCGGCTCCGTGGCTTAGTGGTTAAGTGTGCGCGCTCTGCTACTGGTGGCCCAGGTTCAGATCCCGGGCGCGCACCAACGCACCGCTTCTCCGGCCATGCTGAGGCCGTGTCCCACATACAGCAACTAGAAGGATGTGCAACTATGCCATACAACTATCTACTGGGGCTTTGGGGAGAAAAAGGGAAAAAAAAGGAGGAGGATGAGCAATAGATGTTAGCTCAGAGCTGGTCTTCCTCAGCAAAAAGAGGAGGATTAGCATGGATGTTAGCTCAGGGCTGATCTTCCTCACCAAAAAAAAAAAAAAAAATAGACAAACCCAAATTAACTGCAAGATAATTTATTTTTCAAAAGTCAAAAGAAGACAGTCGTAGACTGTCTGAGCAGGTTATTTCCTTAACTGGGATCTGGAGCAACATCATCCCTTAGCTGAGTATAAAATGCCCAAGTTTCAGATAAAAATATATTTCTTAGTTAAATAAAGATTGCTTGTTTCAGTTGTTTTAAAGACATGCATGACAGCATCATCCCATTTTGAAGGCTGAAAAAGTGTTTCAGTGAATGCAAATAAATTCCTGGTTAGCTGAGCTAGTCCTATGTTTGCAAAGCCACAAAGGAAAGAAAAAGAGAAAGTTGCTTGATGGCCCAGACTGTCTGGTACGACCCAGGATTCCCCTGCCTAATGATCCACCGACTCAGAATAGGGCTTATTTCTGGGAGGAGAAACTGAATGGACAACGAGGTGTGGATGGTTTTCACATTTTACTCTCTATACTTTTGCATTTTACTTTTACACCAGGCATGTATCCATGTCTTCCTTGACTTCCCAGTACTTCAGAGCAGTAAAGGTCATTATTAGCTCATGAATGAATGATTTCTGTATTTCACTCCATGGCTAGTAGGCAAAGTCAGGTGAAAAAAAGAAAAAACAGAAGTTTTGGATTCAAGATTTCCCATTAACTCTTGATAACATTTGAGTATTATGCAGCTTTATACAACTGTTGAAGGGCTTATTAGACTCAAGCCCAAGTTCAAGGCTATCCAGATATTCTGGGGCCGGGACACCTGCATGGTGCCGTTCATTTCTTACTTGAGTAGGTGCTGTCCTTCCACTTTTTCTGATACTGGTTTCTGAGGAGCAATTGCTCCTGGAAGGGCCATTCCAACCGTAAGCTCTTCTCCACATCAGAAGGGATGGATCCAGACTTGCAAACATCTGCAAATGGAAGAAATAACTTAGAGAATCTCTTTTCATACATTTATTTAGTTAGCTATTTATGGGACTAAAGCAGAATAACTAAGTTTCTGGTTATTAGGTATGACATCAGAGAAAGATATATTCTGCTACACATGTCATATTTGCTGGCTAACCATTCACCACAAAAAAACAACCGAAGGGCAGGTTTCCTAAGAAACATTGGACATTCACTGGATACAGACACACTGGACATAGCTTCAAGTTATTTAACATTTCAGAAGGTTTCTCAGAAACCTGAAATTACTAGAGAACCTCACTGAAGAAAACATAGCTCAATTCTCTTACAGTTCACTTTCAAAATACATAAAAATTTGTTTTACATGGTCTATATCTGCTTTGTGGTGATTTCCTCTTGTCATAATGGTAGGACAGGAAACGTTGACTTTTTTCCCTCCAAATTTGGTATCATCAAAGCTTCTGAGACCACAGCATGTGCACTTGGAAAAATCCACTATCCTGTCAGGCAGACTGTGCTTCTTTATCACAAGGCAGCGGGGCTGCTGGGCGCTTGTTGCCAGGGCTGGCTGACCCGCCCGTGACTTCCTTTCTGGCAAGCTGTACATTCTGGCTTTCTGGCAGCTGGAGCCTCATCCATCTCTGTGCTCACACAGGATGTTTGAGAGGCACTTGGATAATCCCAGTGGCCTTCCCCCTTCCCCAACAGGATGAAACAAATTAATGAGCAAAGGAAAGTTTCCTGCCTAAACGTTTGAGACCTTTTGAACACATATGGCTGGTGGGGAAGGGCCAAGTCTAAACATAAACTATTCCAATGTGTTCTTGCAAGAGAACTCTCCTGTTTTTTTTCCATTTTTCCCAATTATTATTCTATCAATTTTGGCCCAATTACTGATTAATTCTTCTAAACACTTCCTAACTGAAGAAAATAAACAGAAGGAAAATATGTAATATATGAAATATTATTCATTAATATATACATTATACATATATTTTTATAATTCAATGATGTATCCGATATTTTTAATAATTGTTAAGGTAATGATTTAACTTCCATTTGATGTCTGTATAGTGCTTATGAAAGACAGGGCAAATCTTCGTGGCTCCTAGGGCAGGTCTCTCAGGGGAAGCCCACAGATTTCCAATATCAGAATCACCTGATGAGCTTGCTAAACTCATAAATGAAAGTTGGAGCCCAGGAATCCAAATATTCAAACTCACCCTAGGTGACTATGTATATAGTCAATAAAGCTTGAGAACCACTGCCCGATAAATTGTCTTAAAATCCATTCTTAAAAGCGGAGCACATCTCCATGTCCCCTTGTTATACCTTTTATCCACATTCTATTTCTGGAATAAATGGTCTTCAATCCATTGTTGTGTCTTCAGCTGGAAATACTCTCTTCAGTTTGATGCATTTCTACCCACATGCTCCCTCTAACAGCTCTGTTTTTCAGCTACAATCATTGTTCTAGTTACAGCACAATTAACTCTCAGTTATGCCCAGCACACCTTTTGTTGTGACGTCTCAGATTTATGAAAACGTCATGGGGAGGAAACCTGCCCACTGCATCCTCCTTTTGTGTAGGTGTCTCCACGGATCAGTTGGGAGCCCTTAATCTCTTATTAATTGTTAGATGTGAGCAATAACACTTCTTGGAGAAGGCTTGTGACTGACTCAAGTTAATTAAAATATACGGTTAATCTTTAAAAATTTCACCCTGGTTGACTTGGGATCGCCAGTAACTTCTCTCCTCAAATGTTGGTTCCTTCTTGGGATCAAAAATTAGAAAGTCCGTCTTGGTGCCGCCAAATCTCAGGTACGCAGGAGACAGGCCCCTGGCCAAAGTACGAAGCTTTGGAGAACTGTTAGGAAGACAAGCAAGAAATTAAAATTATTTTTTCCAAGAAAATCCAGCCAAACATGTTTACTCCCTTCTCTCCTGGTGGACCTATTTCTTACTATCTAGCTGTACAGGCCTTGGAGGGATCAGTCATAGTGCTATAATGGGGGGAATTGTCTCAATCTTAATCTTTCTATAATTGTAAGGTTGCTCTTCTAGGCACCTGAAGGCAACTTGGAGCTCTAACTCAGGCAAAAGCTGATATTTCAGTTTGACAAGTAGGATAGTATTGAGTACTTTTTAAAAAACTCATAACCTTTTATGATTGATGGAGGAAAACAGATAGGAGAGTGGAAACTACAGGAAAGATGACTTTGTGTTTCTTTAAAAAATAGATTGTCTTCAAAAATTTATGTTCCCAGAGAAGTTCAAAATGACTTAGGATTCCTCCTCTTCTCCCTAACCTCCTCTCGCAATGAAAACTATCCTTTCATATTTAAGTCAAATGACTTAGAATTATCTAAGATTCTAATTTCTATCACTGACACTTCCAATGTGAGCAATTCTAAATGTATATATCCTTAAGCCAGAAATGCTCCTCATTGGGGCCTATTATGTGCTCAGAATGGTACCAAATAGTATAGGATGGAATTAAAATGATTTACAATCCCTTCTCTCTGAAACATGAAGACGCCATGAGTATTTAAGTAAATAAAACTAAGAAAACAGAAGACCCCGGTGAAGGGACACCTGTCACACATTTCTGAAGCCTCACACATGTGACCCTGGCCACACGGCTCCCTGGAATGCTTTTAAAACACAAAACCAATGCCGTATCATTCTTGGAATGGCTCAATTAATTAGTTGACATGTGGTTTATTTCAAATAGGAAAATCATTCCAGGAGGACTATTGCCAATAGTTCTAAACATCTATTGCCAATACTTCTTAACCTCTCAGGAATTAAAGGCCTGACCTAAAATTTAAAATTTTAAGATGTGCTCCTGCTTAACTCTGTATAGTGCTGTGTAAAATTTTTGAAAGATTTCTTTATTTCTGCGTAGGAGAGAGAAATTAAAAGATGGAAATTGACCAAAGGACAAGTCTCCTGCATTAAAAACTTCAGCAATTCCTCCTCACCATTTTTTTTCTTTTTTTTTAATAATTTTTATTTATTTATTTATTTTCCCCCAAAGCCCCAGTAGGTAGTTGTACATCATCGTTTCACATCCTTCTAGTTGCTGGACGTGGGACGCGGCCTCAGCACGGCCGGAGAAGTGGTGCGTCGGCGCGCGCCTGGGATCCAAACCTGGGCCGCCAGCAGCGGAGCGCGCGCACCCAACCGCTAAGCCACGGGCCGGCCCTCTCCTCACCATTTTTTGTTTGTTTGTTTGTAACTTGAGAGTTTTTTACTGTAGTTCCTAGGCACTTTTGGCTTCATGAACCTCTTCCTTTATAAAAAAAAATTTTTAAATTATATTTTATGATGAAATTTATACAGACAAATATGTTAATATTATATATTAAAACATTTTGACCTAAAAGTTCATTTTCTTTGGATCTTAAAAGAACTTAAAATATTTTTGTGGGGCCCTAAATGTATTGTGGGTCCTGGCACGAGGAAATGCAGCACAAAGTGAGACCTCAGAAAGGTACCAATCTGGAGCCCACCCTGACTGAGATACCTGAGCACCAAGGGACCCTAGGAAGGATGGCATCTGCTGTGGGATCCTCAAAACCACTGGAAAACAAATGGAAATACTAACTTGGACTAAGTAAGGATTCAGAAGAAAGCCATTTCTACTTTGCTACAAACCCAAATAAAAATAAACTGCTGGGAGGGGGATAGAGTGTTATTGTTTAATGGGTACAGAGTTTTGGTTTGGGAAGACGAAAAAGTTCTAAGATGGATGGTGGTGATGGTTGAACAACAATGTGAATGTCCTTAATGCCAGTGAACGACACACTTTAAAATGGTCAAAATGGTAAATATTATGTTTGGTATATTTTGTCACAATAAAATGAACAAACTGTAGACATCATAGTGTGATTTCAACAATGAAAATAATATATATAGAAGCAGATAACAGTGGTCATTATTATGTGCTAAGGTGCATGGTAGACTCTTTTCTATTGCTTTTCTGTATTTTACAAGTTTTCCATAAATAAACACATGATATTTTAATTTGTACAAGGTGGTTTTGTATGTGTGTGTTTCTGTTTTTTAAGAATAGGTGAAGAAACCAAGATTTACTTAAAGGAGACATAGCCATTCATTAATTTATTCAATAAATATTCAGTGCAGGCCCACTCATGCCAGGCAGTATGCTGGTTGCTGGGGATATAACGGCAAGCAGACAGAGACAGCTGCTGTTCCCATATAATTAATAGTTAGTGATATATACGAACAAGTAAACAGGCAATTCCAAAACAATGCTATGAGAACACACAAAGGGAGTCCTAACTCAGACTCTGGGCTGGGGGTTGGGAGTGGTTAGAGGTTTTCCAGGGGAAGCGGCTTCACCATTAGACATTCAAAAGGAAGAAATCTGGGCCGGCCCCGTGGCTTAGCGGTTAAGTGCGCGCGCTCCACTGCTGGCGGCCCAGGTTTGGATCCCTGGCGCGCACTGATGCGCCGTTTCTCTGGCCATGCTGAGGCCGCGTCCCACATACAGCAACTAGAAGGATGTGCAACTATGATGTACAACTATCTACTGGGACTTTGGGGAAAAAAAAAATAAATAAAATTAAAAAAAAAATTATAATAAAAAAATAATTATAAAAAAAAAAAGGAATAAATCTTATCCAGACCAAAGATAGTGAGGTGGGATTGAAGGGAGTGTTCCAGGTGTAGGGAAAAGTCTGGGCAAAGACTAGAGGTAGATGAGAATATGGCACCACTGAAGAGCTGACGAGTGTGGCTAGAGCCTAGAGACTGAGGGCAGATAGTTGCTGGGAGAGGACAGACTGGAGAGGTAAGCAGAACAATATCATGGAGGGCCTGTAAGCCATCATGTCCAGGAGTTCCAACTTTATATGAGGGCAACGAGGAGCCATGGAATGATTCAAAGCAGTGGAGTGACCTCACCAGACTTTCACTTTAGAAAAGAATCTCAGGCTGCAGTGTAAATAACTGACTAGAAGGACTAATACTGTGGTCATGTTAATGTAGACAGAAAGTGATGGGCTGAGGTAAGGTAACAGCAGTGGGGGTGAACAGAGATGGATAAATTCAAGACACATGTGGAGGTAGAAATGCTAGATTTGGTGTTTAACTGAATGTTGGAAAAGAGTCAAGGATTATTCCTGGGAAGCATCTTGGAAGATGGTAATATCATTTGCTGAGATGAAGAACAGGTGATAGATTGGAGATGGGGATGAAGGTGGAGGAAAGGCTCAGTTCTGTAGAATTTAAGATGCCAATGGAACACCAAGAAACATGTTTCCATCAGGCCATTGGCCATGTGTGTTTGAAGCTCAGGAGACACATCCAGGCAAGGTATAGAGTGGAGAGTCTAAAAGTCAGTGACTAGGAACTCCTAGCCCATGGTTTGGAGACACAGCCCCAAAACTGATAGAAGGAACTTCCTCAGACTCACTCCAGACTGGCCCTGTTCCACTGCCTTTGGCCAGGCACTGACTCTGGTCCTTGGCATTTTGATTGTTTGATGATAGAAGAAGCTCATTTAGATTTGTGTAGCTGGTATTTGTAAGCAACTGCAAAGGGTGAGAAATGGGTGCTCTCCAGGAAATGAAGGGAAAACTAGTACCAGGCAGAAGGAGCTGTGGTATCGTGAGATGTGCATCTGCGCACGGTCTAGGTCAGATGCCTGAGAACAAGAGCCTGGTTCCCAGAGGTAGTGACTATACCACCTTGGGTCACTCTCGCTCACATTACCCTGCCTGTTTTTTCTTCATGGCGTTCACCACTCTGAAATTAGTTTCCTCATTTGTTTCCTTGGTTTCCTGTCTATCCCAGTCCCGGCTCCTGATGTAAGCACTGTGAGAGCAGGGACCTCATCTGTCCGGCTCATCAGAATCGCCTCAGTGCCTAGATAAGCATCTAGGTAAGTACCCCCCATAGCTGGTGCTTAATAAATATCTGTTAAGTGAAGGAAAAGTCGAGTCCGGCCTGATGAAACGGCAAGTGGGGCCAAACAAAGACTGTTTTCTGAACAAAATTAAAACCCAATGCGGGGGCCGGCCCAGTGGTGTAGTGGGTAAGGTCACCCGCCCCGCTTCCCATTGGGGTCCCTGGGTTTGGATCCCAGGCTCGGACCTATGCACCGCTTATCAGGCCATGCTGTGGAGGCGTCCTACATACAAAATGGAGGAAAGGGGCCGGCCAGTGGCTTAGCCGTTAAGTGCGCGTGCTCAGCTACTGGCGGCCCGGTTCAGATCCCGGGCGCGCACGACGCACTGCTTCTCCGGCCATGCTGAGGCAGTGTCCCACATACAGCAACTAGAAGGATGTGCAGCTATGACATACAACTATCTACTGGGGCTTTGGGGGAAAAATAAATAAATAAATAAAATTATTTAAAAAAAAAAATGGAGGAAGATGGGCACAGATGTTAGCTCAGGGCTAATCTTACTCAGCAAAAAGAGAGAGACTGGCAACGGAGGTTAGCTCAGGGCCAATCTCCACCCCACCCCCCCAAAAAATTAAAACCCAATGCTATGGCTCCTGCCAAGTAGAAGGAATCACATGCTTCAAAGTATTGGTATTAAGGACCTTTTTGTTTGTCTCCTTTGCAACGGAATAGTTTCTTGTTTTGAGAGTACAATATTGCTGACTTCTGACAAAAGCCAGATTTAAAACAGCTGCAAAACATGTCATAAACAAAAATTGATCAAAGATACAGGCTCTGTATCAAATGCAGGAAAGAGAAAGGGAAAAAAATCTACCATACCACCACGGCGACACGGAAATAGCAAAAGCCACAGAAGAGCAGTCGCAGATATTCCATTTCCGGAGCAGTTTGTTAGGAGGAAGAAAAGTCCGCAGGTATTTTTATTTTAC